AGTCAACAAACGAGATGACATGGCCTTTCACCCGTGACCCACCTTGAAAGGGTTAACTCTGGACATTTATTCATCACAGGGAAAACCAAAAAGTAAAACATAAGCTTTACTCTGCAGAGCTTAGTTGCAGGACAGTAAAGGAAATATACTAAGCCAAAACAAAACAATTATTTTTCTTGTTACTTCCCTATTTTTTGATACTTCCCTTGCCTGATCCATGAAAAAATTTGGGGTTGGGAGTTTTGTAAAAATCCCCATAAAATGTATTTTTCTAATTATGTTATATAACCTAAAAATTCTGGGTTAAATGCTGAAAGAAGATAAAACTCCCAAAACCAATAGGCTTAAAGTTTACAATAAAAACTCTATCACAAAATTTAACTCTAAAAATGTATTTTAAGTACTATCATTAGTTAAGAGTAATGGCAATACGTTTAGGAGAAAAAATGTTTTATCTAAAAAAGTACTGATAAAACTGAAAAACTTTATAAAAATCCAATAAAAGCATACAAATTAATGGTCACTAGCCTTTAACTTAGATCTTTTTTAAAATGTACCAAGAACTTTGAAATGTCTAGTCAAGCTAAGTATATGCATAAACTAAAATGTAAAATAACCTAAACGATTGAAATCCAAGCTAGACTTCATAAACATTGTATAACCTAAAATTTTGGCATAAACACCAAAGAAGATAAAGCATCTAAAAACCAATAAGTACAAAGTTTATCAAAATTTATTTCAAGTACCATCATTACTTAAGAGTATAATGGTAATACATTTGAGAGAAAGAAAGATTTTTAGCTTAAAAAGTAATAATATAACTGAAAAACTACAAAAATCAAATGAAAACATACAAATTATGGTCACTAACCTCTAAGGTGTTTTTAAATTTGCCAATAACTTTAAAATGTCTAGTGCATAAACTAAAACAATCCAAAAAAGTGGCATTCAAGATAGCTATTGAAGACAAAAATATCAAATCATAGTTTTGTTGATAATTGATACAGACAAATGGAGTGTTACCAAAGGAAAACTAGCTTTAATATTCATGTTAAATATTGATAGAAGTTACAGAAACACACAGTATTATATTTAAAGCTATATGAAATGGAAAACAGCTCCTCTAATAAAACACAAGACAAATATATATATATATATATATAAATAAATAGCTTACAAACTATTTATTACATTAATTGTTTAAAGGCAATTAAATCAGCACTATAAAACTATAATCAATTAAATATTGCAATACCATTATCGGTCCTGGTTGTCAACTTATTGTCACAATGGATAATGTCTGTGATAATAGCACCCAAATGCATTGGAGATATTCCATTTATCAGACATTATCCAAATGCTGATGTCAATCTAGTCAGCAGTCATGGAAAATAATACAAAAAAATCATCAATCAATTAAGGGTACGAAGTTAAGTGTTTACACCCACTATGTCTCAGCTTCTACTGCATTTCACTGAAACTTTCAGAGATCTTAACCTGCACTCACATGACAAGCTTTCCATCCCAAGTATCATTCTAGTAGCCTTTTCCAACAATTCAGTGTCCTTCTTAAGCTTAAGTTAAAGAACCCGAGACAAAATACTCTATATGAGGCCTTATTGGTAATGTATACAATAAAATTATAACCTCCTTAGATTTTAATACAACTTGCAAGTATAACAATGCCATAAAGTCAGGCAATGATCCAATAAAAGAATTACAAACAGATCAGTTTTCTGTTTATATTTTGCTAACATTTTAATGTCTAGTAGATTTTAATAAGCTTTTACTAATTATTGCATTGTATATATATATTTTAAATTCTATTCACATTATCTTAGAAAAATCAGTTAGGGTAGGTATAATTTTAGGTACAAAATTATTCAATATACCAAAGTCTAAATTTGAATTTTGATATTTTGTAAAAATCAGGTACTTCCTCTTCTACAATGAATTAAACATTCACATAGTATACCTATAATTCTAAAAACATTACTTAACTACAGTACAAAATACTATTCACATACCTTTCCCGGTAATGTGCAAATACGTTATCACAAAGTTATCAATTTGATGATCAAAACCGTTCAACACAACACTGTCGACAGCAAATTAGGATTATTAAATTATATATATAAATTATAATTTATTTAGTCCATGAAATACATATACAACATATTCGATGACGAGGAACCCACTTTGAGACTAATAATGGCTGGAGACGGCTTGAATGGGTAATGAAGAAAAACTTTAATATAAGTTTAACATAACAGGAATTGTACCCGATGATGACAAAACCTTGTCGACACGTTCATGCCGTCTCCAAGCATTATTAAACAACACAGTTAGTTGATACGGAAAAGCTACCTAATGACACTAAGACACCCATACCTTACATCAGTGGTGGACAGCTTAAACTGATTCGTGTGGGCCACTTTTGTAGCCCTCAGACAGCCCATTTACCAGACGTAAACCCAACATGATGAATTAAGATTAAAAATGAGCTTTATAAGAAATGCATTTTACGATACGGGGGTCGCGCTTTGCCCTCCACTGCCTTACGTCAATGTTTCGTTATATAAAAAAAGCATTATGATATACACACGTGTATATTACAATATGCAACAGAGTCGTGCCTTAGGTCAACGTTTGATTACAACAAAATCCTTGCATTATAAAACCATAAGATTTTACGATACCTGACATAGTTTGTATTTTGCATCCGTTTCTTTAATAACGCTGATTGTTTGTATGTTTGTTTGTAATTAAGCACAAAACTACACAATGGGCTATCTGTGCTCTGGCCACCACGGGTATCGAAACCCAGTTTCTAGCGTTGGAAGTCCGCAGACCTCACCAATCTCTTTATGTCCCACACTAAATATAACTGGATGTTCAGAATCGAAGATATAGATGTAAAACGATCACAGGGACACCAAGCGGTAGGTTTTGAGTGTGTAATTAACTGCCTGTGAATATA